ATATAGATATCACTTATATGTGGAATCTAAAGAAAAATTTTAAATAAGGATACAAATGAACTAATTATTTATAACCTAGATGATTGATTTCTTGAATATGTGTAAGCATATTTGACTACCCTTTACGATTGGATTACTGCATTCTGTGGATTCTTATTTTGTGGTTGGCTTTATTCCTTTGATAACTATATAAATTTAAAAAGCTAAAGCTCTAATCTTTTCTTAGAAATAATGATCAGTACACATATGTAAACTAAAAGTAATATGCAGTATATTGTATGTATGTATTTACATGAAACATAATGTATATGTGTAGTCAAACTGCAATAATTCTACCTAATAAAACTGAAAAATGGGGGAAAAAAAGAAGGGCATTTGATGAGGTGAGGATGAAAAAAGTTCTTTAATTGAATTAAAAATGAATTTCTCCTCAAAAAATATATTAACATATTATAATGAATATGATATATTTAGAATCCAGGAATACATTATTTTAGTTATTATATAATTTTTAAAAATTTTAAGAACCTAGACAGAAAAAGACAAACTATTTACACAATTTGTTATATTAACCTTATTTACCATTTTTGTCCCTTCATCTCAGAATTTCCTATTTTTTCTCTTTTTTTGGCCATACTACAGAGAACTGTTAAATTTTCAACCTTGATTCTCCACTGAAATATGACTTTAAATGAGTCAAAATAAAACAATGATTTAGTGGGTTTAAGTATGCTTCTTCCAAAAAAATATGTCCATGCCTTATCCCCCAGTACCTGAGAATATGACCCTATTTGAAAATAGAGTCTTTGTAGATATAACTAAGTTAAGGTTCTCAAGAGGAGATCATTCTGGATTTGGGGTAAGGCCAAAATCCAATGACTGGTGTCCTTATAAGAAAAAGGAGAGGGAGATTTAACACAGGGACATAAGGAAAAAGGCCATGTGAAGATGAAGATAGAGATTTGAGTTAGGCTACCACAATTTCTAGTGATTTCCAGGCATGCCAGTACTCATCAAAAGCTGGAATAAGGATTCTCCACCAGAGATTTTGGAGGCATTCCGGCCTGGTGATATTCTGACTTCAGACTTCTGACTTCCAGAACTGTAACAAAACAAATTTCTGTTATTTTAAGTCACCAAGTTTGTGGCAATTTGTTATACAACTATCAGGTAAACATCCCTGCTTTTTTTCTATGTAAATTCATATTTGCTTTAGTTTATAAAAATTTATTTCCCCTCCCAATTAAGCCCTTGGCCTCAGAGTTAAAACTGGAGATTTTAAATGCAACAAAATAATTCAGATTAGGCTTATCCTGAGAAACAAATGAACACTTTTTTTTATGTTTACATACACATTTTAATAAGTTTCTTTTTATCATCATAGTCATTACAGTCAAGAAAACAGGAGGGAAGATGTGCTAGTTTATTGATTTGTTGCTTATCATCTTTAAATTCTCCCTTATTGACTGCTCTATGAAAATGGATCTGGGCCATTTAAATATTTTTCTTTGGTCAGGAAGAAGTGAAGCTTTGTCAGTAGAGGGAACTTGAAATACAGTATAGGAAGAAAGGGTTTTGCTTCCTGCTTCTGGTGTGCTTACTGAGTAGGCTGCTCCTGCTGCTTGTGTGGCTTTCTCTACTGCCTGGCTCCTGTGGTGCATGGTTTGTGTAGCACCCAGCAGCTTCCCCTGGTACCCTCCCTCTGGCAGTTCTGTAGTAAAGTGCCTCTGGTGAGACACTTCCCTGTGAACTATTTCCCAGGTACCCTAGAAGGTTGATTCCAGAGGATAGGCTTTTAGAAAGTTCCAAAGGGCAAAATTCCAGCAATTTCCAGAGGTTGGAGTTTCAGCTAGTTCTGCCTGCAAGGTACCACAGCACCTTTCCTGTCACTGAATAACCCTTGCCTGGCTGTTTCCTCTCCAACAAGATATGGATCTTAGCCCTGAGTGGGCAGTAGGGATTGAGATTACTCTGTCTCAGCTCAGGGGGTAGTGGCTGTTATATCTGTTATTCTATTATATATTGTCTTTTATTCCTATATTCTTTTGAGTTCTTTTCATGCCTTACTAGGTAGTTCCTCATTACGCCAGTCTCCTGCTATTGTTAATAACTCTGTAACTTAAACTTTATTTCAATTACTGTGTACCTTTTCTCTCCTGATTGCACCAGACTGATACTGCAGCAATCACTGGAATAACAATGCCCTATAAAGTTTTTGAAATATGACACAAATATATTCACATGATTTTATAGCAATTCCTGTGAAGTGGGCATGGCCAATACTATTACTCATATTTCATAGATAAGGAATAAGGTTAAAAGAGTTTAAGTGAGTTGTCCAAAGTCATATAGTCATTTTTAACATTTGTAAAATGCAGATAACAATACAAACTACCTCTTAGGGTCTTATGAAGATTAAATGAGGTAACGGTTGCAAAGTGCTTATTAGTGCATGGTAATTGTTTAATGTTAACTGCTGTACATATTATACTTGATCTGTAAAATATATTCAGTGTGGTGTTTTGCTAAGCTACTTGCAATGAGTTATCTAGGGCTTATAGATCTTTTCAATATTTAATATTTTTCAATTAATGTCATTTGTTTTATCAAGTACTACAGCCTAATGACCAAAGATAGACTTATAAAATCACATAACTTGTGTAGTTATTTCTTTCTGAGGGGAAAATAATGCCTACAGTGAGAGCTAACCAACCTAGGCCAAACTTATGTCAGCATAATGCAATTCTAGGCCCACTGTGGTCAATGGCTGAGCTCTGAGTGAAGAAATCAAATCTCTAAGAATCCAGCCCTAACCTTAAAAGGTGAACCTTCAAATTTTAATATTTCAACATACAGCTTAAACAGCATTTCTGGTCTCATCAGGTTCAGCTTCTATTAATTACTTCTTTTGGTCAAGGCTGGAGGTGGGATCAGGCTACTAAGTAAGGGAAAGTAGGAAAGGAGACCCAATTTACAATACGTCTGTTAATTACTCTAAAAATCCTTTGAGCACTTAAGATTTCAGTTAGTTACCAAATATTAAAAGTCCGTACTGTACTGAGTATGGGGTTATACATTAAACAACAAATGGTGCCCCAACCTGTAGAAAACTACCTTGCATACAAATATGCAGTAATACATAAAAATTCATGGCTAACATAAAACACTTTGGCAGTATTTGAAGACACAATTGAAAATTATCCTACAGGAATGGGACAGCTATGGCATGTGTTAAACTTTCAGAAGGGGGAAAAACAAAATGCTTCATGTCTGACAGAAAATTCCACCTGAGATATTTATCAGAATCAGGGGACGTTTTTAGAACTGGTTTTTCTCTATAATAACGTGAGCCCTGCACCCTGGACTGCTAAGTACACAGTATTTTCATCTGGTACAAAATCATTTTAAAGAGAAGCTAGTGACAACGAAGTAAAGGCTTCTTTTTCTTCCTGAGTCACAAGATCCTCTAGCGGCTAGCCTCCTTTAGGTGGAAGAGATCGAAAAATCAAACCCCCTTCGGTGTCGGTAGGAAATCGAAGAAAGCATCAGAATCAGGTCGGCTCCTCAAATGTTCCTCATTGTAACTCCAGAAAAGGAAGGTCCCCAATAGGAAAGGTCCCGACTACCCTCACAGGAAGGGCAGCCGACCCTGGTGCTCCCGGTAGGGAACGTCACCACCGAGTTCAACGGCGGCTGCCAGAGCGTCGGCCGTCAGTTAGCACCTCCCCCTCCTTCCGGGAGCGGTAGCTAGGCAACCGTCGGCCGTCTAGGAGAGCTGCGAACTGGCAGCTGCGTTAGTGCCTCTGGCGGCGAACAACGAGCGGTGCAGGCTTCTCTTACAGTTTTTACCCTCCCCTCTCTCCACCTCCTTTGCCCCCGCCCACCCCTCCGCCACTTCGGCTCCTCCCTCCTCTTCTCTCTCTCCCTCTCCTTCCTCCTCCGCCTCCTCAGCTCTTGGGCTAGAATATCTATGGGTCGAAACGTGATGCGATGAATCCGAGAGAGACCGAAACTGGGACGAGAAGTGCGGCGGAAGCGGCGGGACTCCTGGGCATGGGGGCTTCACCACAATAGAGGCAGCGCCCCCACCCGCGCCCGCCAGCCCCTCCGGAGCGAAGCCCCCAAACCCCCTCGGGAAAAGGATGGCGGCGGCACCTACCCAGATCGAAGCCGGTGGGTAGCTGTGTCCGGGGGCTAAGGGGATGGGGGCTTAGCGCGACGGCTGTCAGTTTCTTTTGAAAAAGCTTCTATTTCTCTTCTTTGCCTCCATCTCAACCTCCTTTCCCCCTTCTTCCTTAGAGCTGTATTACCTGATTGCTAGATTCTTGCAGTCCGGACCCTGCAACAAATCCGCTCAGGTGAGAGGGAGAAGGAGATCTGGAAATCTTGGGGAATGGTCCCAATGGTGAAATCGAGGCAGCGGGGTGTGCGGTTCCGCTGAGGGTGAGGGAAAGACCGGCCTTGACTAGCCCTACCGTCAGCGGCTGGGTTCGAATTGAGGAGGGAGGAATGGGTTGATGGCCTGAGCAGCTCCTCATATCCGTGTTTCCCTTTTGCTCAGGTGCTAGTGCAGGAGCTGGAGGAGCATCAGGTACGGAGTCCCTTCGGGAAGAGGTGGGGAGGGTTGGGGTGAGTCTGGAGGAAGGGGAGGGTAAGTCAGGGGCGGAGGGCAGGGGCCAGGAGAGAGGCTTGGATCTGGGCACTCATAGCTGTTGTCACAGGGGTGAACCGGCTTCTTTCCTCAAAAGGGGCGGATATCGCTGGGGTCTTAACTCGCCCCCTCTTTATGCCTGTGGGAGGTGGTTTTTCAGGATTTCCTCCTCCTCGGCCTCCTTCCCCCTATACTCGTCTAGCTCTGAGACAACAGCTATCAGGCCAAGAGAAATAAAGACGCCAAAGGGTCGAGGACAGGGACACAAGCTGGGTCGGGTTGATGGGGAGCAGAGGCTTGGCCTTTATCGTTTGCTTCCCCCCCTTTTCTTTTCTCCGGCCCCCAGCTTATTCCGCGCCGCTTAGACTGGGAGGGGAGAGAGCACCGAAGAAGCTTCGAGGATCTGGTGAGTAAAGTTTTCATTTCAACTTGACCCAACTCTTTCTCCACTCCCTCCCCACCTTGTTCCCCCAACCCGCCCCCTACCCCTCAACCTACCCGGCTCTAGATCTCGATGCTGAGGCAAAGAACTGCCCCTTCCCCCCTCCCAGCGAGTCGGTGAAAGGGTACCTTGCCCTCCCCTCGGCCTTGTTTGTTTCCACCCGAAAACTTTGAAGAATGTGAGTTGGTTATCAGAGATGCCTTACTGTGGATTATGAATTTGTTACAAACATTGGGAAAGGCCCATTGTAGGGGGAAAAGGGAGAGAAACCAGGGGGTTATCTTGGGGCACGTACCAAGGACTGACGCTGGCCAATGGCAGCGTTGGTAACAGCCCGGAGTTCCGGATTAGTGGAAGAAAACTGGTTTCTGGTTGGTCCTGGCTTGAAATACGGGAACTGAGGCCAGGCTTAGTCTTTTTTTTTTTTCGGGGGGTGGGGGGGTGCGGCACGGCGGAGGGGGTTCGGGAAGGGAGTTGACGGATCCAGGACTGGGAAAAACGACACAATTAAAAATAGTAGGGAGCATCAAGCTAATTCCAAAATTTGCCGGGTTTAGGTAATCGCCACGGAATAAACGCATAATCGTTGTGTATCTCAGATTCTAGGAAATAGCTCATCAAATTATTATCAAATCACATTTGTGCAGATACAATTTCACTAAAAAATAACTATGGATTATGACCTTTTTGAGAATTGATGAAACACGATTTTGGGTTTACAAGGAGACAATGATGGTCATATTTTAAAATAGGATTTACTTTAGTAGAGGACCAAAAAGCATTGGATTGACTGTGTTGTTCCTCCTACAAATATAATTCATAGTGTAAATGCACTTTTGGCTCAGCATTGACACACACGAAAAGGTGATCCTTTTTATTTTTGGGAGGATGTTCCCTTGTGTTAGCCATTGGCACAGCGAACTGGAAGGAAATAAAAGGAGAAAGGATTGATGTTACTAAAATCTAAATTCAGCTATCCTTTCTTCAAATAAGCTCCAAATGGAGGAAAATCAGACGAAGTTAAAGAAAGTTGGAAGGGAATGGTAGACTCTAAATATAAATAAAGTGATTTAAATTTTGCTTTCAACAAAACAGTATTTAAATTGCTTTGGTGTTCACTTGATATTTCTCTTTGTATTAAATTACAATAATGAGGCCAGGCTAATTATTACCAAATCTGAGTAAATTTTATATCTGTAAATCACAGAAAATGCTATAATAATTGTGATAAGGATAAACTCCACCATCTATAATATTAATGGTAAAAAGTTCTCAGATAAAAATTATTTTTGAAAAACTGCATGTATTACCAGTTTATTTAATTTTTAGTCAGACTTTTTGTTGCACTGAAGTTCTGCCAAAAGGCAAAAACAACAGTGCCTACCAATGTTTTAACACTATGACTAATGTGGTTTTGAAGACAGAGTTTTATACAGAGGTGTACTGAAAATGTTTTTGTTTACATTTCTTTGTCTCTAAGTGGACCATTTTAAGCAAGTAGGGAAAGGAAACTTAAAAGGAAAAAGCTTTTTAAAAATTAACTTGACAATGATAAAAAGTAAATCAACATGAAAATAATTAAAAATAGTCTCCTAACCACACACACACAAACAAAAACAAGAAACAAAACAAAACCCAGTTTAATTAGACTTCCTTTCCTTATATTGTAAAGGCATATTTTCATGTAATTATAATCAATATCCACTTTAGCTTTATATTTTCGTATTAACACTTTTACATATACTTATCTGTATTTAAATAGTCATTGTTATTTTAATGGTAAGGAATGATTTAAGTTGCTGTGTGTTGAACTCTATTACCAGTTGAGTATTTGAGTTACTTCCAGTTTTTCACTACTATCTTTGCATAGTTAAGTCTTTCTGCTTTCTCCCTGTCTTTTTTTTTTTTTGAGTTGTTTTCCTGGACTATATTTCTAAAGTGGAGTTATCAGATCAAGGGTCCCATCCATTTTATAGCTTTTGTTATATATTGTAAGATTGCTCTCCAGAAGATTGTACTAATTTATAATGTCACCATCTGGGTACTTAGAGTTAATTTTTAAAATATTTTAAAATTTTTTGATGCTTTAGTAGTGAAAGTAGTCCTTAGTTGATTTAATTAGCTCTTAGTTGATTTTAGTTAGCTCTTGATTGTGGTAGTGGTTTCATAGGTGTAGATATCTATCAAAATTCGTCAAATTGTACATCTGAAATATGTGTAGTTTACTGTGCAGGAATTATACCACAATAAAGTTGTTTAAAAATATTTTGGTGGCTTTAATAGGTGAAAATAGTCCTTAGTTGATTTAATTAGCTCTTTTCCCCATTATTAGTGAGGCTTAAACTTTTACTAGTTATTTTTTAATTGTTCTTAATCCATTTGTGTATCTCTACATATACTTTTTGTTTTTTTGCAGGAGGGAGGTATTTAGGTTTTATTATTTGTTTTTAGAGGAAGTACTGGGGATTGAACCCAGGACCCCATGCATGCTAAGCATACGCTCTACCACTTGAACTATACCCTTCCCCATCCCTACATATACTTGATTTTCATATTTATCTACTGAATTTATTGTTTTTGTAATTCCTTATATATTTTTAATTTTTATATACACAGAATTTCTTCTATTGTTTGAACGTTAATCTATAGCTTAGATAGTGTATCTTTTTGTTTTTAGTTTAATTTTTATATTGTACACTTAGGTTTTTATTTTTCCACACTGGGATCCAGTTTTTCTAGGGATATTACATTTTGATAATATGGTATTATTTTAAGTCATATACCTAGTCTCTACATATAGATTTCTTTGTAAGGGATGATGAGGCAGGACTGAGTGAGAATTTGAATAGAAGGCAAAGAAGTGTAGTGGCTGAGAACTGAGTGTGGGTGTTTGATTGATTGCTAGATTCATCAGTTGTATTGTTGATAAAAATCATTTGAAATCTGACTTCCGATTTTGAGTGGCTTCCCTGTGGGAGAGGTGTTGTTTTTTTCTTGAAGTAGGTATTTTTTAAAGTGCTGTTATAAAAATGGCTTTATGCAGTGTGATCTTGGCTTTAGCTACACATTTAGGATTGAAACTTAAGGAGTATAATCTTATATGTTAAATTATATAACAACGCTTCAAACTTAATATGTCTTGAGGTATAAAAAGGAAAGAATACAAATGCATAATGAAGAGGTGAAGGAGTATAAACAAGGATACCAAAATACTGAAGTTTCATAATCATGTATACCACATATTTGAAACAAAAATCCTGCTTTTCTGTCCATATATATATAACTTTCACTTGAATCATCTATACTGCTTAACTTGATTTATTAAGAAGCCTATTAAAGGTAGTAAGTTGGATTTCTTCAGTACTTCATTACTACTGTTACTTAGTCTAGGAATCCCTCTTTTTTCTTATTTAATTCTGATGTAATGTTTTACTTATAATTTGGAACATAGGGGAAGGTGCTTTTTTGTTAAAGCTACTGGCAACCAAGTATTGACATATCCAGATCTGAAGTGCCTTTTAAAAAAAACAAGTCTGTACAAGAAATATTTGTCAGTTTATGTTGAACTGTAGTATTTTTGATTATGCCATTCAGAAAAAAATTTAACTTTTTAGAATTTTAAGTAATGATACAGGGAGAGACTTGAAGTCAGGGTGATTTTTTTTGAAGTTTGATCTGAACATTTTTCTTTATTTCTGCTTGACTATTATTTACAACATAATAATTAGATTTGCTTCTTACAATACATCTTTAAGGTAGATAACTTAAATAATTACAGGTATCCTTTCATTTGTGGTGACCCTGTTGAATTTTTGGCTTTTTGCTTCCTCCTTGGAGCTTTATTGGGGATAACAGAGCAATGAGTGTGTGTGTGTGTGTGTGTGTGTGTTTAAATGAACAGTTTTTGTTAATGTACACATTTTATATATTGAAATGGTGTCTTGGAAAAAATTAAGATGTTTTAAGATTTTAGAATCATTTTATGGAGAATCCTAACTTAGAATGGAATCAAAGACATAATTATCTTTAGGTATGGTATATATTTTTACATTTATTAAGCAGTTTTCATCTAGAGAATTGAAAGTACCAATTAGTGCTTACATTTGGAGTGACATAGATTGTATTACTTTCATTTCATATACAAAAGACTTGATGCAATTTTATGCTATTCAAAAAAATTTTATCGAAATTGTACGTTTACTACTATCTTTAAAAGTAATACATCTATGATGATATATGTCATTATAAGAATTTACATCTACATATAACATATTTGAGTTTAAAAGTGTTGTCACATTATCTTATTTGATCTTTACCAACTACTTCATTTTTTTTCTCATCAACTACTTTAAAACACTGAATTCCAGACATACCTGTATTTTTTCTTACCTTACCCAGCTCTTGTTCTCTAATTACTAGTAATAGCTTTAAATTGTCTATTAAAACTGTAGAATGATCTTTGAGTACTGGTAGCATGGTTATTGCATCTCTAAGTGTGGAAGCAATTTAAGCATGTGTGATTTATTAACTGTTACGTGGACACACAGCCATAGTTAGGAAGAACGCAGTGCATCATGGGAAACCAAAAAGCATATGCTGCTTGACCCAGTGTGTATATAATGGTGATAGGTATTATGGCAGACAGCAATCAATGTCTAAAAACTCATATTTCTCACTGTGGATTGCTTGAGCCACATGTACACTCTTGCTTTCTGTAATATGTTAGTTTTAGCTATTCATCTGGATTGACCCTTGGCTTTTTTTTTCACACATTGGGTCTAGGAAAATACTTTCAATGATTAAAATCCTTTTGGAGATTTATCATTAGTCTTGGGAAAATTGGTATCTCAGAAAGAGCTGTTAAAGAGTACGACTTTGGATTAGGTGAATGTTTCTCAACCCTTCTGATTGATCTCTTGTCCTAAACTTAATTTCTATACATTATTGATAATTTATTTATGGTATTTTAAATTACCCTGTTGAAGATGTTTTCTTATACCATTTAGTGTCTACCATGGTGCTTTATAATTAACTGGCTCTTAGTTATTATGTGTTCAATTTTCTTAACTTTTGTTAGAAGCATTTCATGATATATATATATTTTTAAGTTTACTAATCTGCTAGCTGGTATGGGGTTCTTTTTTTGGACCTTTCTCTACTGGGAAACTTCTAGAATGTGGGTGGGTCCCTTGTTCTTGCCTTGATATCATCTAACCTCAAGGATAGTATTTGTAGTGCTTTCTTGTGGCAATGTAACCCAGATAATACTTGAGCCTTGGGTGGATTGCTCTGGCTGTCTCATTCCTGAAGAAGTCTTAAAACTAAGAAAAAGAGAAAGAAATGCTATGAACAATGATTTATATTTTCAAAAGAAGTGATAGGAAGTCTTAACACTTTGTAGTCTACCCTGTTAATCAGTGGTATTACTGCAGTAGAAAGGCCCCTTTTTTCCTTTTGCTGCCAGTTCTTTTTTCCTTTCTCCTCCTTCAAGTTTAGAACATTAAAAAAACTCAACACAAATTGTAAAGATATACTATTGGATTATTGCAGATATTTATATTTTACTGAAAAGTGTCAAGAAGAAAATAAAACTTTTTTGTTTTCTTTTTTGTACAAGTATATGCATTTTTCTTCAAAATCAGAGTATCTTGAAACTCTGGATAAAGTTTTTTTTATTTTTTTAAACTTTTATTATTTTTTTCATGTTGTAGAGGAGCATCTTAAACA